CTGGTGCTCCCTTCTCCGCTCCTCAACCTCCTCACGTAGTCCGACTCCCGTCGGACGCGTCTCGGTCGCTCGGTTGCGGTCTCAAACCGCTCTCCAAGGACGTCGCGCGCCTCGGGCCTGGACTCGGCAGCAGGAGATGCTGGGTTGGAAGGAAGGGCAGGCCGCAAGCAGGAAGAGCACGGGTTTGGTGGAACCGTGGCTTCCGCAGGCGCGTCGATAGTGGGGGAATTAGCGGTGGGATTGGGTTTGGACGACGCAGGGGCACGCTCGACCTCGTTCTGGTGAGTACTAACGATTTTCTTGGTCTCGTTGTCCCCCGTCTGGTCCCCGTTGTCCCCCGTCTGGTCCCCGTTGTCCCCCGTTTGGTCCCCTTGTTCCCCATCCTCCCCCTCGAGCGGCACCTCGACGTCTGCCTCCGCCACATTGAAGCGCATGCTGCGCTCGACCGTCACACTGCGCCGATCAGGCCAGTAGATCCGATGGGCATCGGATTGCTCATCCCACCCCACCCATCGCCCTATGCGGGCTCGGTCGGTGAGCTTTGAACCGCCAGGGGAGTGGACGCGCACCTCACACCCCCACGGGTGGAGGGTTGTCGCGCTCGGCTTCCTTTCCCAGAAAACCTCGTACGGTGTCCTGCCGTTGAGCGCACGCGTCGGGGTACGATTTTTCACGTACACGGCGTAGTTTGCCGCCTCTCCCCATAGCGCATTTGGGAGCCCGCTGTCCCGTAGCATGGCGCGCACCTTCTCAAAGATGGTGCGGTTGGCGTGCTCGCTCACGCCGTTATACTCCGGGGTGTCGTGCGCGGTGAGCTTCCGCATCGTGCCCTGTGTCGCGAGGTAGTTAGAGAACTCCTCCGACATGTACTCTCCGCCGCGATCCGTGTGGAGGCATTTGATCTGCACCCCCTTTTGCGTGCGGTAGAAGGCTTCGACCTTCTTGTAGGAGTTGAACGTCTCGTCCTTCGTGCGCTGAAGGTGCGAGAGGGTGTAGCGGCTGTGATCGTCGATGAACAAGGATTTGTAGTGGCGGTGGCCTAGCGTCTCAGTTGATGCTGGCCCCCAGACGTCTGAGTGGATCTCCCCGCCCACTTCTGTTGCTCGGGGTCTGACGCGCTCCTTCGAGATTGCCTTGCGTGACATTTTTCCCCGCTCGCACGCGTCGCACGTTGTCAGGGTACTGCCCGGGATGAGGGTAACTCCCTCAATGAGGCCGTTCGTGATCGCCTCGCGGACGACATTGTAAGATACATGCCCCAACATACGGTGCACCTCGTCGAGAGTGACAGCACGTGTTTCGCTCGAGTTTCCCTCAGCAGTCTTCTCCCCCTCGACCGCTGGTGAGGCAGTCTCTCCGCCTGGGGCAGAGATTCGATAGAGCCCCCTTACCAGTGGGATTGTCACGACTCGTTCGCCGTCGGGGTTGAAGACCCGGCATTCCCCACTGTGGAAGGAGATGGACGAGCCTGCTTTGGTGATGCGGCTCACTGAAACAAGCGTCACCCCCATTGCCGGGGCGTGCAGCACATCACGAAGCAGGATGCGCGTGGTCGTCTTCCCATTGGGGACTGTGATGAACATGTCTCCGCGACCAACACCTCGAAAGGTGTGGTTGTCTGCCGCCTGGATTGTTTTCGGCGTGATTGTCTCGTAATTGACGAAGAGGTCGCGGTGCGGCGACATACGGCGAGTCGCCCCGGAATCGAAGAGAATTGTCCGGTCTTGAGCAGAGGGTTCTTCTGCGAGCATCGCACCCGGGTGACTAGTAAAGTCGACGACCGCATCTGTGTACGGCTCGCAGCGGGTGATGCACGCGAACGGGATGTCCTCGTCACCCTCATCTGCGCTGTCTTCTGAGAGGCCGTCGGCTTCTGACGACGAGTCGGAGAACGAACGGAGGTCGGGGAGAGACTCGTTGTCTGAGTCTTCGGGTGTGGTGTAGACGTACCACGCTTCATCCTTCTTCTCCTCCAATGCCGCTGCGCCTTGATCCTTCGACTTAGACTTGTCCTTCGGACCTTGGCCCTCTTTTCCTCCCCCTGGAGCCCAGCACTCCGACTTGTAGTGCCCGTGTTTCTTACAGTTAAAGCACTCGATATTCTTCTTCGACTTCCCCTTGCCCTTATCGTTTGCTGACAGCGCTACGTCATTAGGGTCACCGCCCGAGCGTCCCGACTTGTTCCGCAAGGCGCGGCGATCGTACTCGTCGGTGAGGGCGCCCATCAGCTGTTCCGGAGTCAAGACGTGTCCGGTGATGGTTGATGTGGCGGTGAGGGAGGAGATGTAGGTCTCGTACGAGGTTGGCATGGAACCCAGGATGATGGCATAGAAGTCGTCGTCCTCGGGTGTGTGGCCCATTGCAGCTAAGTCCTCATACATGGTCCTCAGCTTTGCGAAATGGGCTCTGACGTCTGCCTTGTCTCCGCAGCGCTGCTCCTGGAGCCTTTGGCGCAGGTCGAGCGAGACCATGCGCGAGCGCTTCTCAAACTCGGCAGCAAGCGCCTGCCAGATTGCATGCGCAGTCCCCTTTGCACGGACCTTCATGAACAGGGAATCAGGTATAGTGCTCGCGATGAGCTGCTTGACGATGGCCTCCCCCTTTTTCCAGCCGGCCAATTCGAGCTGGTATGCCGCATGCGCAGGGTCTGGCACCGTGCCTGGACCCGGAGTGACACCAATGGGGGGCCGCAGCCACTGTCCCGCCGCTGGTCGTGGCAGCAGCGTCTACTCCCCCTCCAGCAGCGGTGGGGGTTGCGGCCACACCTGTGGCCGTGCCTCCCACTGGAGCCGTGGTGTTTGTCCCCGCCGAAGAGGGCGGTGCAACAGGTTCGGCGGACGTACCGTCGAGATGTCCGACAAGTCCCTTCGCGTCGGCCGCCCACGTAAGGTGCTCCTTGTAGAGGACCCAGTTCGAGCCGCCGACGTCGAGCTTCGGTACGCGCACGTAGTCGTCGCCAAGTTTCACGGAGGACATGTTGAGGGATTAGATTGGGGGGTAAGGTAAGTCTTCGAGGATTAGTCCGCCTAGAAGGCAGGGCTCATAACCTATAGTAAGCACTCAGTACGCGTTATGCGGGACTAGATATATTACTAATATATGCACCTATAGTAAGCACTACAGTACATTATCAGTGGGAGCCCGGCGGGGTAACTATATGGGCGGCTCACCTCAGTACGCGTTATGCGGGACTGAGGTGAGCGAGTACAGATTCG